AAAATCAAATACCGTGTGTCCTCACTTACAAGTGGGAGCTAAATGATGAGAACACGTGGACACATAAGGGAAAATAACACATACTGAGGCCTATTGGAAGATGGAGGGTGGGAAGAGGGAGAGGATCGGGAAAAATACCTATTGAGTACTAGGCTTAATACATGGGTGATGAAATGACCTGTACAACAAACCTCTGTGACACACATTTACCTATGTGACAAACCTGCACATGTACTCCTGAAGTTAAAAGTTTTTATAAAAATAGAACTATAATATGGTTCAGCAGTCCCACTTTTGGGTATTTTTCCAAAAGAATTGAAATCAGTATGTTGAAGAGATGCCTACACTCCCATGTTCATTGCACCACTATTGACAACAGCTAGGATATGGAAACAACCTAAATGTTGATGAATAAATAAAGAAAATGTGGTATATACATACAATGGACTAAGAGGAAGTCCTCATACACTACAGCATGGATGAACCTTGAGGACATTATGCTAAGTGAAAGAAGCCAGCCGAAAGGGCAAATACTGCATGATTCCACTTAGACGAGGTATCTAAAGTAGTGAGACTCATAGAAGCAGACAGTACAATGATGGTTGCAGGGATTGGGAGGAGGGTAAAATGGGTATAAAGTTTCAGCTATGCCAGATGAGTAAGTTCCAGAGATCTGTTGTACTATGTTGTGCCTATAGTTGATGATACTGTGTTGCACACTTAAATATATTTTAAGAGAGTAATCTCGTGGCCAGGCACAGTGGCTCACACCTATAATCCGAGCACTTTGGGAGGCTGAGGTGGGCAGATCACGAGGTCAGGAGTTTGAGACCAACCTGGCCAATATGGTGGCATCCTTGTCTCTACTAAAATTAGCTGGGTGTGGTGGCATGCACCTAGTCTCAGCTTGGGAGGATGAGGCAGGAAAATCGCTTGAACCCGGGAGGTGGAGGTTGCAGTGAGCCAAGATCACGCCACTGCATTCCAGCTTGGGCGACAGAGTCTCCATCTCAAAAAAAATAATAATAAGAGTAGATCTCATGTTTTAACTCTTCTTACTACAATCAATAAAAATAATAGCTAAATTAATTCAAGCAAGTCATCTTGAAAGCAACTGACATGTGCTTGGTTGTTGTTGGCTAACTACAATGAGTTTTAGTCAGTAGTCTTTATTTCTTAAAGAACGCAATCATATGTTCAATTTTCTTACATTTCAGCTAATTGATTAGTCAGGAAAGGAAAAAGGAGGTTCATCTAAAGCATGTACTAATGATGTTCTGTGTTGACGTGATAAACAAAATAAAAAATTTATTATTACAGGTCATATTACAACTTCTAACTTGCATGCAAAGGGATTTTGTGGTGCCCCTGAAAACATGGCCTACAACGTGACTGTGTAAGCCAAGTGCAGCCAGTGGAGGCTCTGCCATTGCTTATGTGCCGAAGTGTCAGAAGCCCTCTGTGTGCACCTCTTCAGTCTTGGCACAATTTTAAATTCTGCACCTGCCCCCATGTTCATGGATTGAATCTGGATCTGGCTATTGGGAGGCCACCTTCATTTCATCTTTAGGCTTAACATAGGTGACAATTCACTCTGGGGCTTTATAAAAGAAAAAAATGTCTTAATCCTACCTAACAAAAGGAAAGTAACCCTGCCTCATAAGAGTTGAAGACCCCAAAAGCACCTATCAGGGACTGTATAACAGCAACACTGGAGAAGCTATCTGGAAAAAGATGAAGAAAAACTGAAATATTTGAAAAGGATGGAGGTTAACATAGAGGTAATTTCCAATCAACATGGGGAGTCTGAATTTATCCAGAACATATTAAAAAAAATCCAGTCAGTTTGAACAAACAACTTTCAAATATTAAGTTTGAATGATCAAAGCAGTCCATAAAAATAATTTCTCCCTAGTTCTCAAACATAGCCTACTTGTTGCCAAGAAACTTTTTCTTCTGCCTAATCCAAATTACTCTTCCATTTCTCTCACCCATTTTTAATACTTTCTCTCAGAGGGAATGGCTACCTGGCTTCTCCTTGTTTTCTAATTTAATCTTAGTTTTCCTCCATAGGTTGTAGTTTCCATCAATTAGTTATCGTTACTTTTTTTTAAAAAAAGGTAGTTTCCACTGGCTTACTTGGTATTTACCAAATTGGTGAAAACTACACATTAATTTATAACCTAGAATTTGGTGGGAATGAGGTTATTCTTGTACTATAATTTGTGGATTAAGTAAAATCAGACTCTATGCTATGATTGTAAAATTAGTCTCTATGTTAGCGCTCTTTCTCCCAGCTCTTGCTGTGTGTTTCCTGAGGAGGGGGCATCATGAGAGCAGCGGGGGAACATCACTGTTGTTCATGCATGTGCCTGTGTGCATGTGTGTGTGTACACGTGCACATGTGCATAAGCTTGTAAAGGGGCTGGGTGGCAAAGAATGTCTCCTTGGTGATGCTAATAAAGCAACACTGAGCTGGAGTGACACCAGGTGCCAGACCCCCAAAGAGGTAAAGGCAGAGGTCTTCAAGGTGAGTGCTGGACTGAATTCTGGGATCAGGCCAAGAATTGGGGCTAAGTCAATGGGAAAGGGAAGACGACCTAGCTGGGTGTGGTGGCTCATGCCTGTGATCCCAGCACTTTGGGAGGCCAAGACAGGTGGATGGCGAGGTCAGGGGATCGAGACCAACCTGGTTAACATGGTGAAACCTGGATCTCTACTAAAAATACAAAAAATTAGCTGGGCATGGTGGCACATGCCTGTAGTCCCTGGTACTCAGGAGGCTGAGGCAGGAGAATCACTTGAGCCCGAGAGGCAGAGGTTGTAGTGAGCCAAGATCACGCCACTGCACTCCATCCTGGGAGACAGAGCAAGACTCCATCTCAAAAAAAAGAAAGGGAAGAGGCCTGTGACATGGCATGCTGGGTGACTAGGCCTGAGGCTCCCTCTAGGCACAAAAAGGATGGGAGATAAACCTGAAGATGGCCTGGCATGTTTGAGGCCAGCAAGTTGGGGTCAAATCGTTTGTTTTTCTCCTCCTTTATTCCTCTCAGTTTTCTTTATAACCTTTTTAAAGTTCAGGCATCTAAACAGCTCTTGGGATGAGAAGGACATGGTGGCCAGTGTCCACGAGCTTTGGGTACTCTTTTCCCTCACACTGTCTGTGGTCTGAGGACTGCTTACAAAGTTGGACTGTGGCAGGAAGGCCTCCTGATTAAACAACAAAGAGGAAGCCTCTCCAGAGCTCAGAATCGTCCTGACATAAAAATAATCCAGTTCTGACAGTGCCAGGATAATTACTGTTTAATTTGAATATTTTAAAACTAAAAGTATAGCCATTCCTTCCTTTAAAACTTTGAATTATGGTCTCACTATTTGCAATAATTGCAATAACAATGTTTGTACAGAGACTGGAAAGGGGTAGGAAGGGCAAAAGTGGAGCATCGTCATGTTTCCCACAGTTTTGGACACAGAAGCAATTCTCTTCTCTCCTAATAAGCAGAGATAAGCTTATACTTATTTCTGGATCCCCAAGTCATTTTTTTAGCCCTGTAAATTTGCTGGTGAGCAGTTATAATAAAGCTTCTCGGCAGTTCTTTTTACCAGAGTGTTAAAGTAATCCAGGTATTTGAGGGCATGAAATGGAATGTCTTAATCTCTCAGTGGTTCCGATGGATGTGAAGGTCATGTCTACAGCTACCTGGCTTAGGAGTGTGTACATCAAGCAAACATTCAGGTCAAGTGACAGAGCTCAGCTAAAATCCAGAAGTCCAGTGACACCAGAGTTAGTTTTCCATGAAAGAAATGCTTATAAGAAACTGGACTAGGATAAAGCAAAGAGTAAGGGACAGGAAGAAAGCTTACAATTGCATTTCTCCAATATTCTGCAAAATCAGACTTCTTCTGTTCTACCTCTTTTTAAAGCTGAAAATGCCTCACGTTTCTTACTGAGAGGCATGAGTAATTGCATGAATACTAAATTATTTAACAATTTCTAGCATGGTTCCATCCGAGGTTATGTGATGAGGCTACACAATATAGGCTATATGTGTTTGAGTATATTGTGCATGTATGTAACTTTGTTACTTTGATTTGCAAAATGGAAAATTCCCTGAATGCCCTCAGAAAAGAATAATGTAGCATTTGGCAGGTCAACAAAATGCCCTCCCTTATTCTTTGTCTCCACCTCATTCTCCAACACTTTAGTGCACTAAGTTGTAGTGACTGAAATAATTCTTGGTGAATAATGCTGGGCCACGCTGAAAATTTGTGGCTGAGAGCTGGACCCTCGTCATCACCACGTACTTTGTCAATTAGACAGGGTAACCCATGGTTACGGAGCTCCGATCAGTTAGGGGCAGAGAGCCTCCACTCCCCATTGCTCTATAAAAGAGACCCAGCAAAGGGACCCTACCAGCTTCCAGCTCTCAGTCTGTCTGCGTGAGGGTGTGGTAAGGAAAGCCCAGGACCTCCGGAACAGAGCACAGCAGCTGCAGAGGCAAGGCCAGCATGTCACCCAACTTCAAACTTCAGTGTCACTTCGTTCTCATCTTCCTGACGGCTCTAAGAGGGGAAAGCCGGTACCTAGAGGTGAGCCACCCCTGGCCTGACCCATCTCACCTTCCTTGCGTGCGAGCCCTAGGTGGCAGGCAGGTTGCCTCTGCTCGCAGCCTTTTGGGGTTCGCTGTTTCGTCTCTCTCTGCTGGATGCTCTCTTGCCCCTGGTTTCCCCTATCCTGGTCTTCCTCCTTGAGTCTGAGCATCCCAGACTGTCTGCCTGCCTTCCTCTGGCTGCTGAAGATACCCCAGCCGGATGGAGAGAGTCTAAGACCTACCCGTCTTCTCCGGACCCGGAGAAACATTAGCCCTCTCTCTTTATTCGCTATGCTGAGTGGCAGGGAGGGTGCCCCGCTCCTGGTCCCCTTTTTCATTCCTAGTCCTTGAACTTTTCCGGATTGACCTATGTTCCCTGCCAGCTGCGGGAAGCGGCGGATTACGAACCTTTCCTGCTGTTCAGCGCCAACCTGAAGCGGGAGCTGGCTGGGGAGCAGCCGTACCGCCGCGCTCTGCGTGAGTCGGGGCTGCCCGGCTCACAGGAGCCTCGGACTCTGTGCGGAGGGCCGAGGGCTGGCGGGCATCTCGGGGAGGAGGCTGGTCTGGACCGCCAGGGGCGCGGTCCGCTTCGCTAGGGATGGGTCCGCGGAGGCGAGCTGGGAGCGGGAGGGGGTGGCGCGCCTGGGGCGCGGGAACCCAGCGCAGCCGAGGCTGGGCTTCCGAGCGCTCGGTGCCGCAGAGACTGGGCGTGGGGCGCGCGGAGAGGGGCCGCCTGAGGCCGTCGCCACGGCAGCTGCAGGCCGAAACTCTTTACCCTGTGCCCTCCTCCCCCAGGGTGCCTGGATATGCTGAGCCTCCAGGGTCAGTTCACCTTCACCGCCGACCGGCCGCAGCTGCACTGCGCCGCCTTCTTCATCAGCGAGCCGGAGGAGTTCATCACCATCCACTACGACCTGGTCTCCATCGACTGTCAGGGCGGCGACTTCTTGAAGGTGAGGCGCCTGCCGCCCGCCAGCCCAGCCGGGGGTGTGGTGGGTGGGGGCACGGGAGCGTTGGAAAGGGCTGGCCGCTGCGCCCAGCGTGGGGCTGCCGAGCGTGGGTAACCGGTGGCAATTCTGAGACACTTCGGTGCTGTCCGAGTCGGAGAGGGGCGCTCGAGGACCCTCCGCACGGCAAGAAGCTCGCCGTTACTCAAAGACCTCGACCCACACCCATCCCGTAGGACTACGGCCGGTGGCTCTGGACGCTGCGTGGTCTAAATTCCCTTCTAGGCGTTTTCGAGGCCCTGGGAACGTCTAAAGACTTGAACTCTCAGCGCGGAACGCTGTGACGCAGTCCCGGGCCGAGGAAATATGATTAAAAACCGAAAAGCTCGAGCGCTGGGGTCCACCACGCGAGCCGTCTGGGTTAGAAGGCCCGCCTCACGCGTCTCACATCTGAGCCCGCCTCGCTCCTGCTGGTCCGCGCTCGGCAGAGCCATTCTGAGCGCACAGAGGCTGTCTTCAGGGCTCTGGTGACCCGATTTTGGAGGAGTAGGGAACTGGCTGCCGAGGGGGCATCTAGATTGAGACAGGTGGGAGGGGACGACAAGACCCCTAAGCTGACTGCCTCCCTGCTTTCTGTCGTCAGACTCCATAAGTGTAACAGGGCAACCTGGGGTGGCTGGTGGAGCTCTACTGTCCAATTAAAATAATCGTGATTAACATCTCCAAAGTAGAATTATTTTGGAACCTGTCACATGCATTACAAGTAATTTGTAGCTGGGTTGTTGGTAATTTTGTAATGTGGACTAGATTGGACTCATTAAACTGGAGACCTGTGGTGGTTTTAAGAGTCAAGGCGATGGACACTGACCCTTTGTTCAATTGCAAATTTTAACAAGTGAAGGCAAAATGTCCCAGGTAGCATACCAGCCATCATTGCCTGGCTGTTGAAGCAGTTTTTGATATTTTAAAGTAGTATGTGATGATATATTTTAAAAAGAGAGAGGAAAAAAATAGATGTATATAGCCGTTAGCGGATAAAGTTGCTGCTCCAGTTTTTTCTTTTGTTATCGATTTTTGAGATATTTTATTCAAATTTCAATGACTAGTGAGAGAAGCTGAGTGAAACCCAAATTACTCTTCTATGGAATTCTTCTGAAGGTGGGAGGTAGAAAATATGACCAAGGTAAAAACGTACTATGTGGTTTCATTTACCAAAGTGGTTGAAATGATAAAATATAAGGAAGTTTACTTACTTTGGAAGCTTTAAGGCATATAAAGAAAAATAATTAATTAATCCTATTACTTGCAAACAACCTTCACCGTCCAATGTATACAAGTGAAAAGGAAGCAGGCAGATTGTAGACTGTCAATTCTCACTTATGACCAAAGGCCCATTGCTGGATAACTTTTCCCACCTTTTCAACTCACCCCTGACTTCAGGAGTTGATGGAAATGATAGCGTCTATGTCTGTATTTTTTTTCCAAAGGTATTTGATGGTTGGATTCTCAAGGGGGAGAAATTCCCCAGTTCCCAGGATCATCCTCTCCCCACAGCTGAGCGGTACATAGATTTCTGTGAGAGTGGTCTTAGCAGGAGGAGCATCAGATCTTCCCAGAATGTGGCCATGATCTTCTTCCGAGTCCATAAACCAGGAAGTGGATTCACATTAACCATAAAGACAGACCCCAACCTCTTTCGTAAGTGTTAAAAGGCAGAACTTGGGAATCAGACCTGCTTTTCGAAGGTAGTCGAAAAACTTAAAGAAATTTGAACTGAGGAATGACTTGAATGGAAATTTTTTTGTAATTAGAAATGACCTAAAGGATATTGTCTATTAATTATTATGAAAATCAAATCACGGTTTTTAATTTATTTCCCAGGTTAGGTAGTATACTAATTTATGGCGAGTACAATTCTATCTTTTCTCCAAAGTCTTGCTCTGATCGCCTCAGGTTCTACAAAGCATTTAGTGATAAGCTTTAATCTTCCAAGTCATTTCACTAATCCAGGATAAGCTTGAGGGATGGGATATAAAGTTGCAGTCTTAGAGATATTCAGGCACAGGCTTGAAAGTGTCCATTATCTTTCAGCCTGTGCCTGTGGTAGACAGATACTTTACTTTCATCCCCTGAGTAAAGGGTTAGGTTACAGCATTTCTTTTTTTTTTTTTTTGAGACGCAGTTTCGCTCTTGTTACCCAGGCTGGAGTGCAATGGCGCGATCTTGGCTCACCGCAACCTCTGCCTCCTGGGTTCAGGCAATTCTCCTGCCTCAGCCTCCTGAGTAGCTAGGACTACAGGCACGCGCCACCATGCCCAGCTAATTTTTTGTATTTTTAGTAGAGACAGGGTTTCACCATGTTGACCAGGATGGTCTCGATCTCTTGACCTCATGATCCACCCGCCTTGGTCTCCCAAAGTGCTGGGATTACAGGTGTGAGCCACTGTACCCGGCCAGGTTATAGCATTTCAATGTTGCCTTCTGATTCTGAGCCCACCACTCATTTAGTTCATTTCTAATGAACACACATATAGCTTATGCTACGCAACTGAACAGCCCAGGCCTAAAGCATAGTATCTTAATCACAATGAATTTATTCATCTGCTAATTGTTTTTTTCCCCATTAAGAGAAAAATCTGTTTAAAAAATTAGGAAAGGAACACATACCTCTCATTTTTGCATACAATAGTATTAACACTTCATGTGGCTGAAAGATGGGGCCTAATCTGCCGAAGAATAATGTACTACTGATCTTCTGATTTCTAGTTCTGAAAAACAAAAAGAATTTTTGAAAAAGCTCCTCCCGGCCCCTCCCACCCCCCCAAAAAAAAAGCTGTTCATGAGGACTGCAGCAGAATAATTCTAAAAGACAGTTTCCCCTATATTTTGTTTGGTTAGAAATCAGAAACCTCCTGGGCCAGGTGAGGTGGCTCATGCCTGTAATCCTAGCACTTTGGGAGGCCGATGCAGGAGGATTGCTTGAGCCCAGGAATTAAAGATCAGGCTGGCCCACAAAGTGAGACCCTGTCTGTATTAAAACTTTTTAAAAAGCATATTAAGAAACCTCCTAGAACAATCAAGGAATTTCAGTTCTTTTTGAAAGAAAGTATAATTAGAAATATGAGAAGAGGCAGGAGGTGGTTCTGACCTGTTCTGATCCATGTTGATTCATCCTGAAATCAGCAAAAAAAGTACAGATTCTGATGCTTCTACTTTCATATCTAGACTGGTTAATGTATTGTAATTTAGATTTGAGATATAAAACAAAAAACTTTTAGAAGTTCTTGGAAGTAAATTAAACGTTAACAATGCACCTTTTAGTTAACTTATCACTTAATATGCAGCAAATATTTATCAGACTTAAGACTGATCGGTCTTAAGGCGGTGTTTCATTTTTTTCTCAGCCTATTTTCTCACTATAGAAAAATATTTAAAATAGGCCTGGCATGGGGACTCATGCCTGTAATCCCAGCACTTTGGGAGGCCACAGCGGGCAGATCACTTGAGGTCAGGAATTCGAGACCAGCCTGGGCAATGTGATAAAACTCTGTCTCTACTAAAAATACAAAAATTAGCTGGGCATGGTGGCACATGCCTATAGTCCCAGCTACTCAGGAGGCTGAGGCAGGAAAATCACTTGAACCCAGGAGAGGGAGGTTTCACGGAGCTGAGATTGTGCCACTGCACTCTAGCCTGGGTGACAGAGCAAGACTCCACCTCAAAAAGAAAAAAGAAAAAGAAAAAGACTTAAAATAAGCCTAGGGCCATGGTGAAGCTGCTGAGCTGCATCCTAGGCCCTTGGCTTTAAAATAAAAAATTAAAAATTAAAAAAACAAATGAAGTAAAAATGAGAAAGAAAATACTTGAAATTCTTTACTTTATTATTTAAAAAATAACATTATGACTCCAAATGCTATGCATGAAGCCTTCAGATAGACAGAGTTTGAGTTTTAGACTTACCATTAAACCTCAATTTTCCAGATAACCTAGCTTTAAGCTGGACTCTAGTTAACTAAAGTGTTACTAAAACTACTACCAGCTAGTATTTGTTTGGGTGCTGAGTTATGTCTTGTGATTGTTATAAATAAGGTATAACTCCCTAAGATTAAGATTAGAAGCTGCGTCACAGCCCAGGGCCTCCTGACAATATCCATGTGTCACTGATGGTTGTTGTTCCCCAAATCCTTCCTGTCTCCAAACTGCTTTTGTGGTATATATGTTCTCTTCCTGGGCAAGAAGGCCCTAGACCATGAACAGGAGCCCTAGAATAAGGATACAATAAATTTTCATAAAAACCCAGCAAACTGGCTGAGAGCAGTAGCTCACGCCTGTGATCCCAGCACTTTGCGAGGCTGAGGTGGGTAGATCACGAGGTTAGGAGTTCGAGACCAGCCTGGCCAATATGGTGAAACCCTGTATCTACTAAAAATAAAAAAACTTAGTTGGGTGTGGTGGCATGTGCCTGTAGTCTCAGCTGCTTGGGAGGCTGAGGCAGGAGAAATGCTTGAACCTGGGAGGTGGAGGTTACAGTGAACCAAGATTGTGCCACTGCACTCCAGCCTAGACCACAGAGCAAGACTCCATCTCAAACAAACAAACAAAAAAACACCCAGCAAACCAAGTAATGCACAGATGAATTTTTTTTTTCCTTTTCTGCAAAGCCTGCAATGTCATTTCTCAGACTCCAAATGGAAAGTTTACTCTGGTAGTTCCACACCAGCATCGAAACTGCAGCTTCTCCATAATTTATCCTGTGGTGATCAAAGTATCTGATCTCACCCTAGGACACTTAAATGGTCTTCAGTTAAAGGTGAGTTGCTTACTTGTTTTCTAACCATTTGATAAGACCACAGCT